CTTGAAAATACGTTATGCTAGTATTTCTTGAAAATGTTTTTCTTCGAACTATTAAGAATCACTTTATTTGTTTGACAAGTTTGATATTATTCTGCTCGATGACTCATAGATCTTCATTCATCATTTATCTAGCACTTTCGAAGCTAAAATGTGAACTTCAACAGTTTTCCATACGCATGACTCAATAGCTTTTGCTAAATAGTAAAGGTTTATCTACCGACAGAACGTTTCTATTGTTTCTTGTCAGTGTGAATAGACGTGATTGGCTTCATTAGAAAATGATATCCATTTCAATAAGCACTGTTCCAACAATCATAGATGTGTTCAGTGTTTCTCTGCCTCTCGCAGTGTGTTCTTCTTCAAAACAACTTAATGATCGATGTCTGAAAGTTTTTTATCACAGATTGTCAATTGAAAGTGTGAGCCAGTACGGAAAGTTCTCTACACATTTGGCTTATTTGACTAGGATACTTTTTAAAAATAGGCAAGGATAATTTCTCAATACGTGGTCGTATATTGAGGACAGATAATGGCAATTACTCTTGGTGAAAAACTTTGATTATATAGACAGTGGATATTTTGAGCAGACGATCATCGCTGTGAAGCTCAAATGATAAAATATTTTTAAAACTTAATTCTAGTTGTTTGAGCAGCACTGGTAATTAATCCATTCAATCCTGGAAAGAACTTTAGTCGATCTATGAATAGTTGATGTGTTATAATATTCGATATATTTCTTTAACAATATGCGAGACCAATGAGGGTGTGCGTGTATGGGATGTGGATGTCAGTGTAGACAAGCCAAAGATTTACACCCACACTCATACCCTTTCAACTGCGTGTATGACTTTCGTTTTAGTCGAACTATATATCAATATTGTAACACCACCAAATGAATTCGATCCTTTTTGTTTATGCCAATAATAGTTATGCACAGAGGGTATTTTACGAATTTGGGATCCAACACCCGTAAGAATAACAACATCTGGTAAATAAGAAGAGAGTAAAATATCAAGATCATTTAGATGTGTACTTAAATCACGTATAGAGGATCGGTTATTCCATTCATTTAGAATATCGAATACTAACTTTTTCTGATCTTTCGAGCCTACAAACTGATCTACTAAAGAAAAACAAACACTGTTCTGTTTATTTGTATTGAATTATTTATCCATTTATTGTTGGTAAGAAAGAACTCAAGGCCGTTTCGAATACTGTTGATTGTTCGTTCATAACAAGAGTTAAACTATATACTTGTTTAGCATATGAATCATATAGATTTTTAATATGATTTCATGTAGGATTAATCAATACTTGAGACATTTCTATTTTATTTCTATCTATTTCATTGGAACATTTTGCTTTTACAATTCCATTTATTTCTGTTATTGAAGATATTAATTGATTCATTGCTGCTACATTATCCTTGATCATTGTCGACATGAATGCTAGACATTGATTTTGTGTGTTGGACGTGTTGTTGAATCATGAACCATCCTTAATGAATTGATTTCACTTGATTTTCATAACAATTTTTGATTTTTTCACGTTCCATATCGAAGTTTTTCTTTATTTCCATTAGTTCACTAGAAAATGATTTTATTGTTTGATCAATTTCGTTGTTATTTGATGTTTCCTGATTAATATTTTCTCTTATTGTCCATGGGTTAATTACTGGTGGATTCGACGGAACTGAGTTTCGTACTTCAGTTTTGTTGTGAGAAACTAAAAAAACGATCACGATCACCATTTGTGCGACAATCAACTGGGATGAACAGTTTCATGTTTGCTGGTAATTTATTTCGATCATGTTTTAGTCGAGTACGAAGCTCTTGATGGAATCTAACAATTATGGGACATTTATAGTCTATTGCCATGTGTTGACCGCCACGATGGTGACATTTAAGAAGGCATACATCATGATTGTTTCCATCATCTCTTTTTTCACTACATCTTCGACAAATTGCTATAGTTGATTGACATGCTCTTTTTCCATGATCCGGTATGTTACACCGAGAACAAATGAGTATTTTTGGAGGTGCTAGATGTTCTTCAATTTCAAATATTTGTCGTTGAAGTCCAATTTTACCATCATTAATCATTTTAATACATTCATCTCTTTTATAGAGTTCGACTTTAATGTGAAGACTATTAAACCTCATCGTACTCATCATATCTTCAACTGTACATATCGATAGATATAAACTTTTCAATTCATGCATAATTTCATCTTTACGTATTTCGTTAGGTACAAATTTAATTACAATTGGATTTTACGGTGGAAGTCGTCTTCGAGGTTCAGGTTTAAGTTTAATATTATCAATTTGTGATGGATAATGTTTCGTGCCACATAGATAAATATAAAGATCAGAATCATTTGTCACATCATATAGCGTTTTACCATCTGTACTGGTCTACCAGTGGTGAAAACCTAAGAGTTGCTGATTTCCAGGACATTCATTTCGAAAATCTTTATTAATATATTTAAAAAAATTGATTACAAATTTGTTAGCATGTTCACGATTTGCGAGTGATGGAAGACATTTAATTTTTATGGTTGAAAGATTATTTTCAACTGCATAAATTAAAGCTTGCTGTGATATATTCAATTGTCCTGATTGTTCATTGTTGTTGCATACATCTTTTATTGAAATCACGATTTTTGTTAATAAAAATCATATCATTATTTGTTTTTGTTTTTTTTTCTTTCGTTATGGTGTCATTTATTGCCAATTTTCACCTTCAATGTCGATCATATTAGAATCATCATCATCCGATAGTGGTGATCGTTTCTCTCCGGTGTTGCTCGTTTTTTTTCACGTAATTATTTATTAAGTTGTTCGAGAGTTCTGTGGCTGACCATCTGTTCTTTTTTATCAGTAAAACCTTTTGACGTTTTCTTCGCTTTGTTTAAAAAGAAGAATTGGTTAGTCTTAATTAGTTATTAACTATTAATCAATAAGATCATGTGCACGAACTCGTGACTATATGTAAATGTTGAAAGGAAAAGATTATATATACGTTTGATCACTATGAATATAGAAGGAGGAATGATATTAAAAAGAGTATATCATCTTTGCTTTTCTCTCATTTCTTTCTTCTATAGAAGCCATTGCGTACGCATTGATAAAGTATGTATAGGGTGTGGGTGTCTGGGTGTGAAAAAAGAGATACCAACGCCCACACCCACACCCAATCGGTATTCTATTAATAGGACTTCATCGATTGACAATTCGATTATATCATGTCCAAATTCAGAATTGATCAACTAGTCACCGTATCAAAAAAATAATCATCAGTTATCGAAAAAATGAAACAAATGATCAATTTTTACCAGACATTTACAAGACAGAGCTGCTCTGTTGTTCTGCCGTCCTATATTGTTGCCGTACAAGATGAGTCAAAAGATTTTGCCTTACTGAAATTTTGGACGAAGTCCTAATTAAGTAAGATTTTATTGATGACTGTCGTTGTAACAACTGAATGGATATTATAAAACCATTCACTATTTGAAAATACGTTTGATGTAAGAACAGTTTACACTGAATGTATACGGAATTGAAATGCAAAACACAATAAAAACGCTTCGTATATTGATCACGACGCAGGGAAAATCCCTTGAAAAACATGGTCACATAGTATTGTTTCGAAAAATTTTTTCACTGTGTCTGTTATCGGCGATAATAAGTGGAATATAACTATTTCGCTATGCACTTGACTATCAATTCCATATTAGCCATATAGAACACCAAGCCTTGTGTCGAATAGAGCAGTATAATAAACTTGTCTTGAGGCACTGCCCTGCTTTTCGTATTTGTATAGGCGAATTCGAGAGCTATGAAAAATATGACCAGACAATGGACATACTTTCTTATATGATCATGTTTGCTTGTCCTTTTCCTTCATACCTTGTCTATTAGTTTGTATTTATCAGTCTTATTATTAATGTATTCTCCTATTTTATTAGTGCCATTGGTTGCCGTTAAATCCATCCCTGTTACGCACTCTCTAACACTTTAACACCTTTTAGTGAATTTGATAATCATTCTCGTTATGCTTTTTACAATTCAGTTGCTTAGATATGGCTTCCTTGAATTATATTGCTAAAGTAAAATCCTATTTTCGTAATATGGCTGACTTGAATATACACAATTATTTTTTCTAAAAATATGTAACCTCCTTAGTGATGAGAAAGTGAAACGGAACATCTTCAATCCTGAAAAAGATTTATAATTTTGACGATATTTTTTAATATTACGATCCTGCTTTTACGTGACCATTTTCATTTTTCCTTTGCACTTCTGTGATATGAGACTCAATGAGTTGCAGCATTCATTTTAGTGTTTTCAACAATTGTTCGTACAAAATACTTTCTCAATTACACTTGTATGTTAGCATGCATGAAAAATTGCAGTTCGGTAACGATCACATTAACCATACACTACTGATTTTATTATATCTTGTTTGATGGAAGCATATCCATAAAAATGTTTTTCGAATCATGAAAAATATATATAAGAGTGAGTGCGTATATCCTACAAATCATTTATCAGCACTGCTCATACATCAAAAAGAACTGTTGCTATCAATGCTCGATTAGATTCTAATTATTAGATATTCCTATACAATCATGACAATAACGTTCGTGAAAGTCATTTCACCAAATTGATTTTTAACTGATTTTCCATAGTCCATTTCTAGTTTATAAGAGTACATGTAACCTCAATAGAAGGAAGAATTTTTAGTTTTCTATGAAACGTTGTTGTTGTTTGTCAAAGTTTGAAATTATCTTTTCAGTTTTCATATTCTTCGTTAAGACTTCAGTTGATTAAGACTTAAGTCGTTCTTCGTATCATTTTGTCGTATAGACTATTCGATTGAAAATCGTACTACGCTATGAAAAGTTTATTTTAGAAAGCACGCTTAAAAGCTATATGTAAACTACTTTTTTCGCTGTCAGTTAGTGTCAATCTTGTTAACCATTATCATTAAGTCTTGGCTTACAATTTGGTATTTTTCTTTAAAGTTTCATTGATACGTTCTTGAGTATCGTCCTCGACTAAATTTCCTCTGACGTTAAGTTCGGTGAGTGTCTGTGTGACAAGTAAAAATCAGGATATGAGAGATGAGTAGACAATATGGTTTACCCTGTTATTTTTCAAAGCATCAACTAGATATTGAGCTCCTTCGCTTTCAATTGAATTGCTTTGAAGATCAAGGTTTCTCAGTACCTGTGTATAAAAATGAAGATGAAGTTGAGAATAATGAACAACGAAAGAATTTCACCGTGTTCTTTTGTAAAGCATTAGCTAAATATCGGGCTCCTTCGTCGTGAATTCCATTATATGTGAGATCGAGTTTAGTAAGGGTCTATATGAAGAAATAAATAAAGTAACAAGAAAGAGAATGGCCAGAAGAAAATCACCGCGTTTTTTTTCAAAGCATCAGCCATATATTGGGCTCCTGTGTCTCCAATGTTATTGCAGCCGAGTTCGAGTGTAGTGAGTGTCTTTTTGAAGAAGTGTTGATCGAAAGTAGAGAGATTAAGAGAAGAAGAAAATTACTTTGTTTTTGCTTAGAGCATCAGCCAAATTCTGGGCGATGCTGGATTTCGTTTCATTGCCTGAGAGACTTAGCGAGGTTAGTATCTGTGTGAAGAAGCACAAATGAAAATAACAGGAATTAAAAGAGAGAGAGAGAGAGAGAAACTCACCGTATTGTTTTTTAAAGCATTGAAGATATATTCGATCCCTTTATCTCCTAGTTTATTGCCGCCGATACTAAGTGTAGTGAGTGTCTGATTGAATCAGTAAAGATGAATATGATTATGATGTATAAATATATAGATAGATTTACCATATTATTTTTGAGAGCATCAGCGAGGTATTGAATTCCATCATCTTCAATTTCATTGGTATCAAGCTGAAGAGTGGTTAGTGTCTGTACAACGAAGCGTAGATAGAAATCAAAGAGATGCATATAGATGGAAACTCACCGTGTTCTTTCGCAAAGCATTAGCCAAATGTCGAGCACCTTCGCTTCCGATTTTATTGTCACGAAGTTCGATTTTCTTGAATGTCTGTGCAGAAAAATGAAGATGAAACGAAAGAGTTGAAGAACGAAAGAAATTTACCTCATTGTAACATAAAAGATCAGCTAAGTATCGAGCTCCTTTCTCCCCGAATTGATTGCAAAAAATGCCAAGTGTAGTGAGTGTCTATGTGTAAAAGTGAGGATGGAAATCAAGAAAACGAGAAAGATAACATGTTTACCATATTATATCGTAAAGCATCAGCCAAATATTGAATTCCGTCATCTCCTATTTCATTGCCTTGAATGTAGAGTTCTGTGAGACCCTTTATGAAAATGGGATGATGAGAATGACAAAAATAAAGAGAGAGTCAAGTTCACTATGTTATGTCGTAAAGCATCTGCCAAATGTTGTGTTCCTTCATCTCCGATTTTAGTCAGTCCAAGGTCGATTGAAGTCAGTGTCTGTAGAAAAAAAATCAAAGATAAAAATAAAAAAGATCAAGCGAAAACAATATTCACCATGTTTGTCCGTAAAGCATCAGCAAGATGTTTAGCCCCTTTCACTCCGATTTCATTGTTGAAAAGTTGAAGTTTGGTAATTGTCTGGGTGAAAAATGTATACAAATATAGTATAAGTGAAAAGAAAAGAATTTCACCATGTTATTGCGTAAAAAATTAGCCAAATGTTGGGCCGCTTCGGCGTCGACACCTGCGTTGCTGAGTTTAAGCGTGGTTAGTGTCTGTATACAAAAATGATGATGTGAATGAGCAAATCAGAAAGAAAAATCAGTTCACCGTATTATTTTCTAAAGCATTAATTAGAATTTTCATCCCTTCGCCGCCGATCGAATTGCATACGAGATCCAGAGTTTTAAATGTCTGTGTAAAAAAGAGAAAATAGAAATGAGAAATATCAGTAGGTATGGTGTAATTGTATGAGAAGTTCAAGAAAATGGAGTTGATGAAATGTGCCAATTAGATTATTAGATTTCGTTTCCAAACATTCTGTTATTAAAGAACAAGAACGCATCCTAAACTGCTTTTTCTAGCATTTCTTAAATATACACTGAGATCCTCATGCAACTTTATTTATTTTTTATGTGAAAACAAGATGCGTTCCATATTCCTAGAAAGGGTGAATTAGGAGGTCATAAAACATCATATAAAGAGGAAGACAATGGTCTCACATTCTGACTTGGAATATAGAATTCACAGCTGACTTTGAGTTTTTAAAGGCTGTCGATCCAAAAGCCAGTTATTCCGACATTATCCTATTGTAATTATTACGTAAAATTTTAAATGAATCCTTGCATGGTTCTCTTTGAATTATGAATGCAAATGACAAATTTGAACCTGTGCTTACCATTCATCAGTGCAATATTTATTGGGTTGGTAAGAAACTTTTGTCGTTTTTTTTTGAAAATTTTATTTTTATTTTTTAATATCAAGGATACAACTAGCTTTCAACAATGTATGCTCCATTACTATCTATGACTTATCGCCAACGCTCTGGTAGAGAAAGGATCCCGCGTTCGTAGAAGTCCTGCGACTTTTGGCCAAAGAAGTTGAGGAGGTCCATTTCCAGGTCGTTTTCTCCTCCAAATGGTTAGAAAGAGAACGGAACAAATGGTAGTCCGTAGGAGCCAAGTCTGGAGAATAAGATGGATGTGGAACCGTAACCCATCCGAGCTCCAATAATTTTTCACGCGTCGATTTTGCAGTATGGGATCTGGCATTGTCATGCAAAAAATAAATTCTATCCTGCTTCTCCTGAAGTTTTGCCGCAATCCGGTCTAATTGCTGGCAATAGAGATCAGCAGTGATAGTGCAATTAGTTGGAAGAAGTTCCCAATGAATAATCCCTCTTACTCCCTACCAAACGCTCAGCATAATCTTATTTTGGTAAAGGCCATCATTGGGTGTTGCCACACCTTTTTGTCCAACTCCCAGCCACTGCCGCTTGCGTGTGTGGTTAACATACAACATCCACTTTTCATCGCCGGTAATAAGATTGTAAAGCCATTGGTAGTTGCGATGAGACGTCATTAATTCCATACAAGCATCAACTCTCTGTTGGAGTTGATGCGATGACAAATCATGTGGTATCCAAACTTCATATTTCCACGTTTTGCCTAATTCGTGCAGATGTGTCTCCACTGTAATATGAGAGCATGCAAGTCGCTCTGCTAAACACCGTGTAGTCAATCTAGGATCTTTTTCGATAAGCTCCTTTAAGAGATCCATATCCACCTCTAGTGGTCTTCCAGTATGAGGTAAATTATCGAGTTCGAAGTTACCGTTCTTGAACTGATTGAACCAATGTTACGGTGTACGAATGGAGAGCGCATCCTTGCCCATCGTATGGCATATGTTGCTTGTTGCTTCTGTTGTTTTGTGACCCAGATAAAATTCATGAAGCAGAAGTACTCGAAGCTCTCTACGAGATATCTTCATTTCTAATTCGAGATCAGCATGTATATCCATAGTTTTATTGTTGTTCGAAAGATATTTACACTCCCTTTATATACCCTTAGTATGGAAACTTCTAGAACTTTCTTGACTGTTCTAGGAAGTTACGAAAAAAAAACGACAAAAATTTCTTACCAACCCAATATTTCAGAAAAAAAATGAAGACATGAAATTTTGTATTGATATCAGATGTTTGATCAAATACCATATCCGCAAGAACTTAAGTACGCTTTCGCTCAAAAATTCAAAATTCAAAATATATAATGACATCAAATTCATACTGGAACGCTGACGTGTGATATGAAAACTATGTAATAAACTGAGTCTCCTGGAGCTTAGTTATACCTAACCTTTCGGAAAAAAGGAAAATACCGAGTTGAAAACTTTTTAAGATATAAGAGTTAAACTATTTGACCATGATAGAATAAAATTAGTCTTTTTGACTGATATTCAAATCGTCAGAAAACGTTTGCACCTAACTGAATGCGTGCAATTCAAATAATGAGCCTCAGCTGCATGCATATCTGTATTACAGTCAAAACTTATCTGTCATATGGCGTAGTAAACAAGTACATCGAAAGACGTCTCGAAAAGCGAACATAAGATATTAGATCATATGCGTTTTTACGAACTGCCATTCCATAAATTCTCGGTAACAGAAAATATTTGATCTTACCTTGTTGTCTCGTATTGCATTGGCCACAGTTATTATGTTTTCCCCAGTAATTCCTTGACCTTGTAAACTTAGATTCGATAGATCCTCGTTTTTAGCAATAATTTCTTCCAGGGTGGGTGGAGTATATGAAGATTCGTTGTTGGATTCTTGTTGTTCTTGTCTCTCTGGCTCTATAATGCGCATAGAAATAACAATTTCTTGTTGAGAGAGAAAAAGAAAGATAGACAC